GATAATAGGCCTTTTTGATTATTAATTGTTGCTTTTATCTAGAAGCAGCGTTCACGTCAGCTTGGAAGTTGCCTCTCCATCACCAGTACATAATTGGGCGGCTCTCTCTTGCCGGTCTCTCATATGAAGACACACAACCAGACAACAAGGATGTACCAATAAGTTATCACAAGAATGCTAAGTTATAGGGAAAACTTGGTAAAAACTGGGCAGCTATGATAACTTTACCATGAAAAACTGAGTTGGGGTGAAATGGTGCCCCGGTGGTGTAACTGGTAGCACAATTGCCCGGAAAGCAAGAGATCGGGTCCCGCTGGGGCGAAAGTTTTGCCCACAACTCAGCATTCTTGTGATAACTTTCGCAACGCGAACTGCGGCGTAAAACAGCAGTTATCCAACAAAAACAAGTCAAAAAATGTACCAATAAATTCGATTTAGGGATGGCAAGCATTTCAAAGTGTCTCAAAAACTTACAGGCTCCTGTTACGTCTAATAAGGAGGGGCGAATGTTGAGACGATCCCGACGACACCCTCTTGAACTCAGGAATATCAAAGTGATGATCAAGAAGTACCGCCTGTGAATCCGAAGACGAGGATCCACATTTCATTTCGCGATTAGGTCGAGGTAATTCGATCTGCAAACAATAAACATAGCGGTAAGTATAATATAATAAAAAGAAGGTAATGAATCCCTTTGTAGTCGCTACGTATTCTACTTCCATTCGGAGAAACCTCACAATTGCACATAATACTCATGTTCTCATGGATAGCTACTTATTAAGAAAAACGTGAAGAAGAAAATCCCACCATATTCCGGACTTCTGCTTCCAACTCTGATAAGAAGTTGTGATACGCCGTAGACTTGACAAAGTTCTCAAGGTATCTCTGTAATTTCAAAGTAGATTGAATCTGTGCGATGTTTCACAGAATTACTCAGTTATGGGCAAAACTTTCACCCCAGGCGGTTTTGAAACCACACCGAACCAGGAATTCGACTCCCGCCTAAGGCGAAAGTTTTGTTCACAACCCAGCATTCTTGTGAAACATTCGCAACGCGAACTGCGGCGTTAAAACAGCAGTTAACAAACGAAAACTAATAAAAAATTAAGCAATGTGTTTTTAAATAGTTTCTAGTCATTTTGATGCAGCCATATATTGGAGTGAAAAGAAGCGCTGTACGCAATTTTGAATGGACACAGAAAAATAATGCATGAACTTGTCAAAAGGGAATCTCCCAAAATTGTTGAAACATACATCGTGAATCCGCAGAAAGCAGTATTGTTTTGCGGTAATAAACGAGGAAAGCAGTGGACGTCCACTGTCGGAACATATCTCAGATTCCATTCTTCTCCGGGCAGTATCTCCAATTTGAATCGGGCTAAGCGCTTGCATAGAAAAATATCTAAAATAGGTACTTACACATGAAATCTGATGGAAATGAACTCTAAATAATTGACGCACTTGTCATAAATGGACATTGCATCCTCGAGGGCCTCCTCGTCGGAGAGACTGTCGTAATTTTCTTCAAAAGCATTGCATGCTATGAGAAATTGGAGGCAGTCATGATCATGCCGATCATCGACAAACTAGAAAAAAAGAAATCAAGAAAGCTCTCAGTCGGAATAAAACCACAGAAGTACCTCTAAAAATGCGTTTAGCAGAGCTGGAATGTAGAGAATGTCGTCAAGACTGCACCGACGAGAAAAAACTTGTAACTGGTACTTCTTATAAAACAAACTGTTTTCGAAATCTTTGAAATACCTAAAAAAGAACTCTTACTGACTGCAAGGGAGATGAAAACAAGAACCAGTGGACAAGCCCTACAACCAACCGTAAGTCAAACAAGCTGTGCACAAAGCTTTTCGCTTCATCAAAAATGTCTGAAGAAATCGGCCGCTCTGATAGCCTAGCTGGAGAATATTAACAATCATCTGAGAAAGTACACACAGATTAAACTTAATAGCTTACCAAATACCCGTTCAGAAATCTTCTTAGGAAGAGATATGCTGCATGCAGAATCCGTATCGATATATCGGCTGAATATATTGCGAGCGTCGAGAAGAGCAACTGCAATTGGGTCGTTGATTTATATTTAAACAACCAGCTAACTGGGATCTTGATCGAAATTTGTTCAGGGGAAGTCAACAATCCACGCATCAACGTAGGCAAATACAGTAACATCGAGCTATGCCCTTTTGATACTCGTATTTGACGACTAAGTTTCTGAGCACTTCAAGGACTAATGAACTGGTCAGATCACATCAACGTTCCCGATAACACTTTTCAATTATAGCACAAGACACAGAGGAAGTGTATCGTAGTCCAACGTTGTCGGCGAACTCGCGACTCGCCATAACAACGTTCTCCCATGACCAAGTTAGCCGAAAAAGAGAATTAGAAATCGAAATCTGACTCAGGCCTTAAAACGCTATCGCTCTCGATGTGCGCCACGACAGTTTGAAAATACAATAAGACATGAAAATTACAATGAAAGATGACAACTCACGAGAGTTTTCAGCATCTTGTGCACACTCTGCCCTCTCCTCTCCCAAGGATGCCTTGAAGCCCTCGACGTGTATCCAGAACCCTGACAAGGTCTCAATTTATCTGAAAATTCTTCCAGAAAATTTAAACGCCAACATGCAAACGCGCAAGAACAACACTCTAGACAAGGCCATTCGAACACAAAGCTACCACCAAGAGTACCGCGCGCTCTGTTATTCCGCGTTATTCTGTGGTAGCTTTTGCCAGGACAGGGCACATGCATAGTGCGGTCGTCCGACAGCGACGATCGTAATGGTCGCACAGCGTTAGATTCGCATCGATGCTCGCAACCTAACTCCCAGCCGCCATCTGAAGTATCCGAGAACGTCAAGCAGATTGTTCGCTTCGCACCTGGCGCAACAACTTCTTTCGTCGTGCTTGCCCCAGGGTCGCAGCCATCAATCACGAGTAGACATGGAGTTCCCGCAGCAGAAAGAAACTTCGCGCTGCGGAAAGCGAAAAAAGTCGCTTTCATCCTAGCGGACCACACCCTTGAAACGCTAAAATAGAGATCAAGAAAGCCGGAGACGAATGGCAACAGAATCCGCGAACAGAATGAGATGAGTGTCGATTGAACTGCAAAAAAATATTGGGTGATTCCGCGCAAGAAATTGGGAACGTATCGGTTGCTTCTGTCCAGCTATGATTTTAGGGCAAGAAAAAAAGAATAGGCACGTAGTCAAATTCCAACGCCAAGTCACGCAAGAGGGCCTTTTTCGCCTATTTCCAGATGCGTCGCTAGTCCTGAGAGCAGCCTAACATTTTTAGCAATCGAATTTAAGATCGATTGCGATGAATGATAGCGACATCTTTGCAATGCCGACCGAAACGATTGATTCTGTCAGAAACATGGCGGGTATTCCCAAGGGGGCAACAATGGTTCTTGAAGCCTTCAGATATCGCATAAAAGGGTCAAGCAGAAGGTAAGCCACAAAACCTTTGAGCGCACAGAGCCAATCTAACGATAATTCATTCAAAATATGCCAGTCGTCACATGACTATGCACACCATATTTAGGAGTCACCACGACGAGGCTGTGATGGACAACTGACAAAAAAAGCACCATCCTTTCCCTCCGACGAATATGATGGAAAATATTTTTTTCGGGATTCCACCTATTTATGTAGAAAAGTGAAAAGGTTGGTAACTTAAGACTTACCGTAGCATTCTAAGAACTGGATGAAAAACGTTAGTGCTGAAGAATCCGCTAACAGATGATCTATGTTTTGGGCAAGAACGCATGAGTTTTGAATGACTATTTGTTCTGCTCCACCTGCAAATATGACCACCTTCCATAACCCTTATGGTGCATAGTCCCTTGAAATAATGATGCAAAGCCGACATCATGAACTTAACATACCCGCAGTCAAAGGGTTGACTTCATTATCAGGCTGTAGAGGCAGGTGATCCGTAACAAATGAGATCTTGTCCGCTCCATTTGAAACACGTCTCACATTTTCTAAATACAAATGCAATAACACAAAAAAATTGAACAAAAGGAGGCAAAACACTCAATTATCAGCAACAATCTCGTTTAATCAGGGAATCGCCAAACGTTATTGTATTGCAAAAGGCCATTCTCCAATTCGCCCAAATCGCAAATTATTAACGCAGCCTAAAACCCTTACATGAATGTGGCGCACCCATATGAAAATGCAGTAAAGTTAGGCGTCAAAGCAGAGTGCAAAACATTTCAGACCGTAAGGGTCCCGTCGATAATTTCTGTCGCCCTTCGTGCTTGCTACACGTCTTCTACACTACTTATAGAGAAGAAGTATAACGGAAGACAGCGGAATATAGAGCAGCTGGGTAGATTACGCGCAAGGGATTCAGCGCTGCATGGACCACATCCAGACTGTCGTGAGAGTAATAGAGGTCTGTCGTGGAATACCATATGCCTCTCGTTCTGACCTTTGTCGACTACGAGAAAGCCTTTGACAGCGTCGAAACGAACGCCATCCTGTCAGCGCTGGTCGACCAAGGAGTGAGTAGTCATCCTAATCTTTTAGCAACATCTTAGCTGACTGTCTACACGATGACACACCGCTCATGAAAGTTGGTGGCTACGACGCTTACAAACTGTTTGACCGTCCTTAAATGCCATCTCCGATCACGAGAGGGCGTCATAGGCAGCGGCCGTATACTATCTCGCCGCAAGCCTGTTACAAGCGGCGCTTCGAGCCAAGTTGATCATAGAAAGTCCGCAAGTTTCGACTGGGACTTGAAGGGCCATAATACCGCGAAATGATAGAATATTCCTAAAACCAAAAACCTTGAACGTGAGATTGCAGACTGAACAATCGTCTTGTTTTCGAATTCCTAATCTGCCTGACGCGACGATTTACGAGTCGATTGTCAATCAGAAAAATTCCGAACTTAACACGAGAAGCTGGAATAGAATAGGGGGGGGGGGGGGTGGGGGGGCGGGGAGAGGGGGCTTGAGCTAATCGAATTCATGGAGAAGATCACAGTTTATGAAGAACTCCTGGTGCGAAGAACATCACATGACGATAAATGGTTTGCAGATACTGGAAACCAATTCGTACGTGTACCTAGGACGCTCGATAAACATGAACAATGATCTCAAGGAGGAACTGGACAGGAGAAAGAGAGCGGGCTGGTCTGCATTCGGGTCTATCAGAGAGGCCACTGACCATCTTTCAGATGTAGACCTGCGAGCCCATCTCTTTGATCAAACAGTGCTTCCTGCGCTCTGTTACGCTGCAGAAACGTGGGCCGATACGAATGCCACCACGAATACGCTTCGAGTAACGCACAGAGCGTTAGAGAGGTGTCTTCTAAAATACAACAGGCGCTCACAACATCGAGCAGGACTTCGTAGTTCAGATATGAGGGTGATGTCTCGACTCAGAGATCCTGTGGAATACGCTTACAAGGCAAAACACAGGTGGGCCGGACATATCATGAGGAGGAACTGACGACAGGTGGACGAGAAGGACAATAGAGTGGATCCCTAGAGACCACAAGCGTCCTCTAGGGAGACCACCTATTAGATGGGCCGACGTGTTCGTTAACGTTCTGAAGTCCGCTATGGAAACTCGTGGCCGTCAAGGAAGAAAGGTATCGTGGATGACGGTAGCGAGAGGACGAAACGAATGGAATCTGTGCGGTGGCTCGCACATGGAGTGAAGACGAGCCATCTAAGTATCTAAGTAAGTACTACAGGGTGGCTACTAAATATTGGCGCATGGATTGTTGACCATATTTTTAAAACGAGAAGCTTTTACATCTTCAGAGGTTTATCTTTATATACCTTATAACATGGCAGTACATTGCTGAAGAAAGTGCTCGAGATGGCCTCCTTTGGTAGCGATACAGGCTTGAAGTCTCTTTTCAACTGACATCACTGTGGGCCGCAAGTAGCTGACGTCAAGCTCCTTCCACGCCTCCTCCAAGGAAGCCTTCAGGGAGTCCAAACTTCGACGTTGCTCAGAAGGCATCTTCTGCTTCAAGAAACCCCACACCGCCAAATCAATTGGTTCAAATCGGGCGACATTAGATGGCCAAACATTTAGTGCCTGGAAAATGACGGTCACAGTTCTTCAACATGGATATTGTGGCATGTGGAGGCGTTTTGCTGAAGAATGCAATGACGTTCGCTAAAGGTCACAAGACCTTGAAGAAGGCATATGTGAGAATTGGAAATTTTCAGTGAATAGACTTCTGGGCGCTGTCTTGTTGATCTATTCCCGTTTCTTATTGAAATATGACTAGCGAGAGCGCGATTGTCTAGTTTATTTCAGAAGTAAGTCCTGCCCAAACGATGACAAATTTGAAAACGGTTCCTTGTGCGTACACAAGGTCGAGCAGAATGTCTGCTTGCCAGATCCAACACATAAACTGCCTGTCGTTTTGCAAATCGTGCGCCACTTCTGGTCTGAAGATCTACTCACATCACGCCGACGTCGCTACTTGCGGCCCACGGTGATGTCAGTTGAAAAGAGACTTCAAGCCTGTATCGCTACCAAAGGAGGCCATCTCGAGCACTTTCTTTGGTAATGAATTTTCATGTTTTATTGTATATGAAAATAAACTTCTGAAGATATGATAGCTTCTCTCTTTTTGGAAATCTGAATCACATACAAACCATGCGCCTAATAATCTAGTAGCCACCTGTAATTGAACACAAATGGCGACAACGCCCGAGGATATTTTTGACCCGCGACCCGCCGGAAGGTATTTCTATCGCCGCATTGGCTTACTATACCTAATGATATAGAGGCGATTATATACTGAAGTAGGAACAGATTCGGAATACTTGTGCTTTTCTCTTTTCAAGAAGTGTAATTATTCAGCGTGTCTTAACTTCAAAGGTCTTTGCTTTGCTGCTTTGCTTATGAATTTGACGGTGAAGACACTGGTTCTTGTCGAATGGTGTACTCCTCCTTGTAATTCCACATGAACCCTCTCAGAATCCTTTTGATTTTCCTTGAATGGACCCCCTACCAGGAGCGGAGCGCGCGCAACCAATTGCGCCCACTTTGGGATGCGCCGTGTGCTTCAACATCCCTTCAGATTCGATGAGTCACTTGAAAGATAAAATATCCCTTGGAAAACGTGCGAGTTTCGGATCTTTAACTTATGGATGATAAACACTGAAGTAACTAAGAGCTGCTGAGCGTACACTTCTGAATGACGAAGATTTTATGTGGGCGGAATAACATTTTTACTGGAAATTATCAGGCCTAGGCATCGACTCGAACCTTGACGTTTGTCCTCCGAACGTTGACGATCCTGGTGCATCAATCTAGCCCGATCTGTTCTTCCCTGCGAGCCAATATGACCACAACCCCTCCCCCGCTGCCAACATTGGCCCTGTCTAGGACTTCCTCAACGCACGCTTGACCCTTGCTCAAGCAATCGGAAGAACCTTTATAAAGTGTGTGGGTGCAATCATTTTTCCAAATTACTCTTTTTGAAGACTTAGAACGGACCGTACCTCCCATCCACGTCTCACAATTGTTTTGCTTTGAATTCGAATCGAGCCCTAATAACCCTACCTTCATCGAATTGCACATCGGATGTGCTCCTTACTACGACGTCAGGGATACTCTCTAGTAATGAGGGATCAGCTTATCTCGCGAAGGAAACAGGACACCATCGGGATCAAAACCATGAAAACTCTTCTTCATTTAACTTCTTTTTTCACATCCGAACTATCCGGTATCTTCAACACGCAGGAGCGACAGGGTGAAACATGTGGTGGCAACGTTTCAAATACCCACAAGAGTCGTATTGAGTGTACGCTTGTTTTCTTCTTTCTAGGCACGGCTCTTTTGTGTCACTTTCAAGGAACAAGGAAATAATCGAAGCTAAACAAATCGTCCAGACTGCTACAACTGTTCCCCCGTCCTGGGCACACCGGATATGCTCTCCTACGACGGTGAAAAGCCTATGCATATGAGGTGTCATCTAATCTAAAGCAAGGCAAGGGAAGTCGCTTCAGTGGAGCCAGCTCTCACATGTTTTATCTTTAACTGCGCGAGGCATGGACGACAGACTTCAAACTACGGATAAGGGGGATTTTGGTTGAGTACTTCAAGCCCGAACGGCTGCCGTAATGAGGAGTGCAGCTTCACTTGATGTGACATTGCCACGGTTACGGGCCTGACCGAATTCCAAAAAGTAAAAAGTCGGAATGCTTAAGCTATTAATTAAATGTGGTGATTACTCTGAAAACAAATGGGACGGAGTAGTCGAACGAGCCCATGGAAACGGCATGTGCCCATAGAGTTTTCACGAACGTTTTCTTGGATACGCACATTTTCCACTTGTCCCATTCAGTAGCCTAAACAGCACTGGGAACTTCCATATCCGTAGGGCAAATCTGGTACCAATATGTATCGTACCGAAATACGACCGATGCTTCTGGTCTCTACGAGACTCATTATACCCTTTATTACGATTCAGGCTGAAGACCGGCAAATTCGGATGCAAAAAGGATAGGAGAAAAGGGAAAAGAAAGGGAAGCACCGGCAAAGAGACGCAAGCGCCATAATAGTGGTTTTGTTTGGAACACAGAGCAGTATTGCGAGCTCTGCTCTCACCATCATAGAAAAGTTGGAGAAATCACAATCTCGCAAAATTCTTGCACATGCTGAGATTTTCCAAGAGCCTGCAAGACGCTCGATGCGTTGGCCAGTCTTCATGGAGCAATCGTAACTTGGCAGCCGGCGCGCTCGCCTCAGCGCGCGGTGCCCTAAAATAGTGGTTTGTTTCTCCACCCCAGCCGGTTAGTAGTTCAGAAACAACACTAGTCGATGTCCCTGCTACCGCAACAATATCCTTCTTCATGTACCAAACTATAAACATGGCAGTTTTAATGATCCACACGGCATTTGGAACTGCCATTGGTCATCGTGAACTGGCTAATTATTTCATTATCATTCAAATTAGATAACTCGCAACGATTTCTAGCTCGGGTCCTTCATCAAGTAGAATTCTTCTTCACTCTTAAAACCCATGGTTGGGATCGGGTGCTTAGTAGATTTCCACTGCATTTTCCTATTTCTTCGAGGCCCCACGTCTGATAGATACATATAGTTTGTTTCAGCTTTCTTCTTTTTGTTCTAGGATGTTTGTGGGAGGAAAACTCAGGCCTGACCGTGCCCACGAGCCGGAAAACTTCGCACAAGCGTACTTAGTGAATCCCCAGCCAATTTCGGTATGTTTTTGAAGGAATTACGTGAGTGTGAGCTGGAGGATATTCACGTATCAGGATAATAGAACGACCAAAACGAGAACGAGGAAGAAGAGTATGAAGAAAATGGAGGAAGAGGATGATGATGAAGAGGATTTTATACCATTTGATGCTATCGATGCTGTGGATGAACGTCACGAAGTCGAGTCCTCTGGTTGGTCCTACAAAATTTTTCAACTTGTTTTTGCTTTTTTCACTCATTACTCTTTCAGCTGTATGTGACCCATATAATGCAACAGCTCCTCATTGCGTAGTTTGCGGCCGAACACCAAATCCCAAAGTCCGTCTTTTTAAATGGCCAGAAGATGAACAGCTGCGAAAATCATGGTACGTTCTCTTTCTACCTTTAGATCACGCATAATTTTATCTTTTATTCAATAGCTTATGAATAATACGAGTCAAGTCCTACGTGCCTTGTGTGCCAGTGCCCATAATGCTAATAGAAGTCGAATTGTTTGGTTCTTCGGCGCCATTCGAGGTTGATAAATGGAACCATTATTAAATTCGACGAAATTAAATTCAAAACTTCCTTTCGACCTCTCCGTCTTTTCCAGAGGCCTGAAGCCTTGAGCTTTTGAGATCTTGTAAGCTACTCGACTCAGCAAGGGGAGATGCTCGGTAGGGTAGCTGAAGAAGAAGAAAAGGTCGAAACGTCGGGCCAATTAGTAAAGGTTCCACTTATTAACCTCGCGCGG